GCTGTTCTTTCGAATTGGGAGATTCAAACATAATTCAATTATAACATAGGATAAAACGCTTTTTAATCGAATTTATTGGTGTATAAACTGTACCATTTCACTAACAAAGAAATACAAGTCTGGACTTTTATGATATGTTTGTGAGTGACTTGGTCCAGTTTATACACCAATAAATTCCTTTAAAAGTATTTCAAATCGAAGATAAGGAATTTAATTTCCCCACTCGTAACCTCTATCACACATATTGTATATCTGTGTCATTGAATTGGCCTGGCGCATGCATACAATTTTTTTAACGCAAACAAATGTACTCCGTGACATTTGCTATCTGATTAAAAAACTACAAAAATATTTCGCTTTCAATTTTTCTTTGCAACAATTTTTAAACATAATGATATCATTCAGAGCTTAAAATTGAGGAATGTAGGTCAAAACAAACAGCTACTATACACGACAAATCATGTTCATTTTAAATGGAAATTAAAGTTGCGAAAAAAACTAAATTTTCCGCAATCCCTGCCATTTTACTCAGTTCCTGGGTTTGTTTGACTGTCAGCTATAAGATTTTGACTCGGTGCATAAACAGGTTGCAGTGGATATCTTCCGGCTGACAATGGAATAAGAGATGTATAACCTTGTCCAATTTTAGCAGGAACGTTGCCTTGCTGAATTGTTGGTTCTTGAAATTGTGTATTTTAAATTGGCATAAGAGAAGTTGACTGTGCAGAACCGGTGGAAACATTGTCAAGGACGGCACTGATTTAATGTATTTGTTCATTGTCTCCTACAGCAGGACTTGAGGCTTTCCTCACATTTGTGAACAGACATGTATATTATATTTATGTCTGTAAGCCCAGCATCACTCATTGCAGTTATTGCTGTTTAACGTAGAGAATGTGCTATGTAGCGTTTTACCCCGGCGTTTTTATAGATATCCGACATAATAGTTGTGAACGCTTTTACTTTCACTGGTGTCTCAGTGTACCAAACTTGATAATTATCAGGATTGCCACGAAGTGCATCACAACTGCACTCATTGAACAAACTTTTTTGAATCTGGATAGTATTTTGACAAAAAGCGTTAAACGGCTTCGACGGGATATGAATCTGAGTCAGTCGAGTACATTCGTTTTTCTTCGGCTTCTTCTAAGGAGTCTTCTATACCACCTTGGTACTAGTAGTTTTTCTGGTGTATTTCATGCGTGATGGTAATGTATTTTCTCTCTTCCTCATCTTTTACAAAATTAATTGAATCCTTTGATAACTGTTGGTAAAATTCAATGTCACGACTAACAAAATATATTGCAAGAGTATACCAGACTTTAAATCGAAGTGCGACAACATTATTCTTTGTTTAAAGGAATCCATTTTTTATTTGTAACTCGAGTTAGAAATAATAGGATGATGCTGAGCCGAACAGGACAGCCCATTACGAAGGTTGAATTTAAGCTTAGCAGTAAGCATTGAATTTGCTAGCTTAAAGTTTTTGCATTTGTTTGCACCTGTCCTAAGTCAGGAACCTGATGATCATTGGTTGTCGTTTGTTGATGTGGTTCATAAGTATTTCTCGTTTCTCGTTTTTTATATAGATTAGACAGTTGGTTTTCCTGTTTGAATGGTTTTACACTAGTCATTTTGGGGCCCTTTATCGCTTGCTGTTTGGTGTGATCCAAAGCTCCGTGTTGAAGGCAGTACTTTGACCTATAATGGTTTACTTTTACAAATTGTGACTTGGATGGAGAGTTGTCTCATTGGCACTCATACCACATCTTCTTATATCTATAAGCAAACTCCATACTTTTTATATTTGTCGTAACTCGCCCTCACAACAACATACCACAAGATTTAGAGAAAATGCAGTAACAAGGTATTGGATAAAAAAAAACACAGCAATAAAGTGATAAAGATATTAAGGCTAGTTTTCGTAGCCAGTTCAGTAAGCCACCTATTAGAAAACAACTCGTTCTACTAAAATGGCATATACTATTTACAAATTATAGGAACCAGCATGGGAACCCATTTTGCACTAAGTTACTCTATGTTATAATTTGGATTTTTAGATCAAACCTGTACTAAATAATTGAAAACTTCACAAGAAAATCATAGTCCCGATTTTTAATGAATGCTTTATAACTTGGACGACATCAAACCAATTACTAAAGGAATACCGTAAAAAACTAATTAATTTGCACCATTGATATTCACTAAAGAGACCAATACCAAACAAATTCTGTGTAAGTTATAGTTAAATACATGTTAAAAATATAGTCTTTAATTGAAATATTTTGTGGATAAACAATCATATAAAAATTAGAACATGTAAGACAACTCTCAAACAGAAACCAAATGACATATAAGTTAACAACAGTAGGTCACCGTACGGCTTTCAACAATGGGCAAAAACCCATATCGCATAGTCAGATTTGTATACATTGAACAAGATTGGTACGTCTGTGATGCTCTATCTATTCGAAGAAATGAAATTGAATATTTCAACAAATGTTAAGTTCCGTTTGCTGTATTTAATCAACAATTTAAATAATTAATTTTTTGATAAAACTTTTAGGTGAAAAACCACTTATTGATCGTTCCATTACTTTCTTTATGAAATTCCACAATGTCAAGCAGTTACAGATCTTTTGTTTTAAGTTCAAGTAAAGTGACAGTCATTGCGTGTCAAAGCAACACCTGATGGTGTCGTGTACTGAAAAAAAACCTTTTAATTGCATATATTAACTGCTTGATTGTTGGTTGCTAAACGTCAAATGGCAAATATTTCATACATGTTCAAGACGAGAACAAATAAACAATAAATACAATTGGTAGGTCCTGTGATAAAGGCCGTCCGGGATGAAGGTCGGGGAAATTTAGACTGCCACTGGAAAATGATGGTATATTGGATAGGAACAGAGATTTACCATTGCAACAGGCCAACTACAGATCCCTCAAAGAGTTGTAATAACGGTTCTAAACGTGCAGAGAGCGTGGAACTCTCTCTACAAGAGGCATCGGATTTACCGTTCCCATTCTGACCGTACATTGCTGCGTACTTGCACATCACGCACAGCTAATCGGACGTCCCACTTTGGCAAGGGTTTTACTGCCGGTCGGAAGAAGACCTGTAGTGACAATATTTCTATTCCCTCGTCATCCTTTGGGATTAAGTGCATATACGAGAGTTCTGGTTACCGGAACTTGGAAATAACCAAAACAGGTATATCAGATCTGATTAAAAGGGAAAATGTACCATCCTTTTTAAATTTCATACAATTTTTTATTATCAAAATGATTAGACAAATAGGACTCTACAATGATCACTTGTCATTCAGCTTTCATTTGAAACCAAAAATATCAAAAAACCCAACATATTTTAAAGTTACACCAATGCGTAGTAGCTATTTTGTTTTAAATATGTACTACTTTATGGTATGTTCTTTCAGACAGGGCCCGAATAAGTGGTGTTACACCTTTAGTCTTTTGTTTATAGAATGATAATTTGTATAGTAGGATACTTATGGAGATTTTCCGTTGGTTCAGGTACGTCGATTTTCAACCAGCGTTATCTTTCGATATGCATGGTCTCGTATTTATTGCATTCTAAAAATGAATTTTCAGTCTTTTTTCATTTTTTTGTTTCAATTTGAGTATAAGCTGCAGTGTACTGCTGGAATTAGAGCGATATATTGAGGGGTATAAAAAAAGAAACTTATATGCATGTACCTACAATTCCAATGAATGTAATATTTTCATTGCATATGCAAAGGTAATATCATAACTTGGTAAAACATTTGACATTATTTTTCTAAAATATATACCGATTAAAGATAAATTATAGCTTCCGCCTGAATAAATTTATTTTGGATTCAGATCATTTACAGTCATATATGAATGTAACAAATTTTTAAATTACTTCCTGTACCTTTTATATTTATGTTGTATGTAATCTACTATGATGTCGAGCCACCGATTATTGAGCGTAGCAACTCATCAAAGATACAAGGATCATAAATTGTTACGCTATAAGTGCATATCGTCTACGTAAGAATCATAAGTGGCGTTCAAATAAAACAAAATGTGATTACCAAATCAAACAGTAAGTTAAAAATCAATGCAAACAGAAAAATCCCAAAATGTTTTGCCAAATACGGCTACGGCCATCTTTATCTGGGTAGAAAATCATTATTTTTTCGAATAACTCAAAATTTATCACCAGAAAATGTATGGCTGCATATAAGCATATAAGCAGGTTAAGTAATTTAAACTTGCTTTCAGTAACTATGATGCCGTATAGTATTGCTTCAAATTGTCCTTTAGTATTTGTGTTTTTGTAATATACTAGATCTCGAATTATACTTTGTGGCAGAGTGTTTTCCTTTTATTTCTTTTAAGAACATTGTGTTATTCAAAGGAATGTCAAAATCTACAAACAAAAAAAAACATTTAAAATAATAAATGTTAAATGTAAAACATTCCTTTTGCAAACTACTTATCCTCTTATAAGAATATCTGTATTCTCTGTAAAATAAGACTTTCACCCTGATCGAACTTTTTTTATCCCTTTTACTGAGCTACTAGTTTCATTTAAATTGCTCTCTTGGATTGCATTCAATAGATGTTTGTCCCGCATCATTATCAAATAGAAATAAATTAGTTGTGTTTAATTTGATGTCCTGATAAGCATTCCACTACGCATAATAAAAGTATATTTTTAACATGCAACCAATCGAGTAGTTATGTATTTAAAGAAGCTTCTGAACAAGTCATTAAACATATCAAAATAACCGTATCTGAAAGCAGTTATACAATTCCAAACGCTTCAACAGTTAACCAAAACAATATGTTCAATATTGAAATTAAAACAAAAAACATAGCTTGAAATATTTTTAAGGTTGGACATACCAATCAAAACATAATACGCATCGTATGACGTCAGTGCATAGAAACCATTTGATTATTTAAAGCATAAACTATTGAAGGCAATCATATTAGAATGTTTTGCGAACTGACAAAAATGATTATATCGATCATATTTCTGTGTATGCAAACGATATTCATTGCTGTACTAAGTGAATCAAGAATTAAATTGATCTCAGCGCATCATAAACCTGAATATGACAACAAGTATGAAGAAGAGAACGCCATTGAAGACTATCATGTTAAATTTGTATGGGAATGCGCTGTGAAATGTTTGTCAAATAAGCGTTGTTTGTCATTCTTCTACAGCAATCCTACAAGAATGTGTATTTTACACTCGGATCCGTTCACATATACAGTTATGTCATTCTCAGGGGAAGGGTGGAAATTTTACCTTTTCCAGGAACGTAAGTCAACATAATTTATTAACTGGTAACTTCGTATTTTGCCTGGTTTACAAAATGTTAATCCTGGTACCTATGATTAGTTTATTTACAACCACTGGGTCGATGCCACTGCTGGTGGAAGTTTCCTTCCCGAGGCTATCACCAGCCCAGTAATCTGCACTTCTGTCTTGACATGAATTATCATTGTTAAGGTCTTATAAAAATTAACTGTCGATAGAATATTGATTTTTTTTCGAAATATTAAGGATTTTCTACTCAAATTTTGGGTCCTCAATGCCCTTCAACTTTGTACTTTATTTGGCCTTTTAAACTTTTTTTATTTGAGCGTCACTGATGAGTCTTTTGTAGACGAAAAACACATCTGACGTACAAAATTAAAATCCTGCTATCTATGATGAGTATAGTTACAATGCTATTAATGTAATTTATAATAAGAAAAAAGTCGACATTGCTACTACAATAATTGTTATCACTACCAACCAAGTTAATAAAAATATTAATGACCCAGCTCTCGGACTATGTGTCCCAACGGACAGTATTTGCATTCTATTTTTTTATTGTCAGTTAACAACGATATTGCAGCGTTTTGAAAATTTCCATAGACTTCTGATTGAACATATTGAATGGATACGTAAAAAAATAAAATTTAATAAATCAAACGGAATATTATAAAAGCGAAATTCACATACATCATTTCTACATCATAAAAACAAATTTGAATAAATTAAAACGATTTACATAGTTTCTAGCAAAATATTCCAAAACTATTAACATGTATATCAATTTTAATTCATTTTTATCATAAAATTGTGTCAACAAATTCTACCGTGATTTCTTTCAGTTGCATTCCTCTATCTCATCCAAAACTCTCATCTGACTAGTACACAGTCTGCCAATAGAACTATGTGACCATTTCTGTTAACGTGAATATCTTCATGTGTTGTTATGTTGGTGCTTTCAATGCACGACCTTTCGCATCAGGGTAAATTCGTTAATCGAACAATAAGTTCGCCCTTCACACCAATAGTCTTGCTTCTACAAGCTTTTTGTTGATATTTTAGCGAATTTTAGCAAAATTCGCGAAAATTACCCATGACCTTTAACAGCGCCTCGAAATGGGTCTTGTCAGATCAGATTTATGTCACTCTAGACAGACTTAATTTGTTGAAACGGTCAGGAAATAAAAAAATGAATCTCATTGTTTTGATCAATTTATACAGAAGAAAAATAATTACAGAAAATACTGGTAATTGGTATAAAATGAACAATTAACTATTGTTTCCGCTTTGCCCTTTTCATATTAGTCATGGTATGGTATGTATGTTGCTGTCATAGAAGTATCCTCCGCACCTACTTTCATATTCATTTAAAAATTCACGAGTAACAATTATATACCTATATGGAGTTATTTTCTTTCAGAACGATAGGTCATTCTTTCGAAGAATCAACCCGGACGATACCATGTTTCAATGAAATATGCTCCAAGGCATAAAATAATGACCTGTGTGAGGTCATTATTTCCTTGATAAAAATGCAAACTATAATTTACCTCGAAATTTAATTCGTCTGATAGTTTTTTGTTGCCAATTGGGGAATTCATTTTTTAAAGTTCAATCTTTTGATGGGTTTTAAAAAAATCGTCATTGACCCGCATTTTAACTTTAGAAACAAATAATGTGAAGTTTTGTTAATTTATCGCTACAATACAGGGACATTATCATATATGTGAGATGAAATTTAATGTAAAACTTTCCATAACACTTTTAAAACAAGCCAGATTTAACAGATTCGTGTGTAAGATTTTGAAAATCTTTTTGATTCACACTGAATAGGAAATCATACTGTGACCTACATGTATTGATATTCGTTTTTGTGTTACATGTACATGTATCACGATTTAGTGCTCTCTTCGTGTCAGTTCTTAACTTTTTTACATTTATGTCTACCTTTTACTCCATCAAATGATTAACAGTTACTAATAAAATATTCTTAAATTCTATTGAATAACATCCACGTACCTCACAATGGGGTCGGGGTCGGGGTCGGGGTGGGAGGTATATAATTAAATCCTGATTATCTGTTAAAAAAAATGTATTGCTTTTCATAGAAAATTATTCTGAATATTTCATTCGATTCAATTAAAATTGTTGAAAAAATAACTCCGCGAAAAAAATGTCATTACAAATAGAAAAAATACCCAACAACATAGCACCCCCTTCCATAAACTAAGTTGGTACAATAAATTACTTACAAAGTGACTTGTATTTTTCATACACCGTTATCGGATGTAACAATTCATTTGTGTCTTACTTCATGCAGTTACAGTAATATTTTTATTGTGTATGGATAATGATTTCTAAGGTTTATATCTAGATTAATTAGTGGGTTTTATTTCACATTCTAAATGAGCCGCAGGGCGTATTAATACATGAACGCATTAGCAAGGAATATCCCACTGTAGTGTGGTCGGTAAAATAGGATGCAAAATTTTGCAAATCTTTATAAAAAATAATATTTTTTTGACGGTATATAAGTCAGATAATGCACATTTTAAGGTTTTTCTTGTCGTAGAACGGTCGGTCTTTCATTTGATCAATCCTGACACCCCTCGGTGTCTTCTACGACAAGAAAAACCTTAAAATATGCATTATCTATAACAGAAAGAGATAATTTTGTATGTTCGAATGGAAAATCCAACACATCTATATCCTATTGATCAAATCATAGAACAATGAAAAATTTGAAACGTCATGCAGTGAATGCATTTTGTTTAATATGGACAGCTTCGCTGACAGAAGTTAATATCAACGTATGAAAATAGAATGTTACCATTGATACTGTAATGTTCCGGAGTGTTCGTGCTAAGATTCCCGGATAAGTTACTAATGTCTTTCTCCGGTAAGGTAATTAATAATACAAATCTAAATGGAAGTTCATACATTGTTTTATTTGCTGCTTCAGAAATATTCAATATTACAAGTACAGCCGTTCATCAAACTCATGAAAAGAGATAAATATTATGATAAATATAGGTGCATGTGGAGCAGAATCTGTTTACCCTTGCGGAGCACCTGAAATCCCCAAAGTTTTGATGGGGTTCGTGTTGCTCAGTCTTTAGCTTTTTATGTGTTTTGTATACTCCTGTTTGTCTTTTTGTTGTTTTTTTTTCTTTTTTTAGCCATGGAATTGTCAATTTATTTTGGACTCATGAGTTTGAATGTTCCTTTGGTATCTTCCGCCTCTGTTTGTCCTACAAGCTTGTTAATAGTTTCTTTTTTACGTGGTGCAGAAATATCTACTTGGTGTACTGCATTATATTACTCTGCGTACTCGGTGCATTAAATCAGTATGCAAACCATACACACTGAATGAACATGCATTACTGATTCCCAAACCACTTTAAATGTCTTTTAAGTTCTAATTGTTATCATGGATAGTCGAGCAGAAATTCATGTTATGAGATTTAATGTAACGGCCGACATTACCAGTTAACATGATTCGCAATAGTAAATTAATATTAAAGGTATCAATTGTTTGTTATTTGTTCGAAACATTTTTTATATATCGGTGATATTTGAATTATATAATCACTTATATTTATAGTTTCCTTTTTTTTATCCAAAAACCACTATATATATGACAAAATTGATCTGCATTTTAAATTCCTCAAATTGTAACACAGATGGTTAGAAAGTTTTGCATCTATTCAAAATCTGAATATCACATACTTTTTTATAAAGTAGTTGACACTTTTACGTTGTGTTTTATAGATAAATATATACGTTTAAATATGAGACAACTTTATGAAAGAACCCTTTGGTATATGTGGCAGATCCGCTGTTTTTGTCTGTCGTAGAGGATGATATTTTTGCTTACCATATATATATATATATATAGACAAGTCATAATTGAAAACAACATTCAAACCTATGATTGCGTTTGATAAAAACCGCAATTTTTATACGTGTGCATGTAAAACAAATTTCTTGGTTTTTAGGGGTCTAAATACAGCACAAACAACATTTTCCAAAAGACCAAAAAAGTGATAAGTATATTTTAACAAATCGCATTTGACTAACAGGTCCAACAACTGATGTTCTTAAACCCTGCTGACTGCCATTGACGATTGCTAAATAAATTGATCACGAGATGTAACATGGATCTTAATTATTAATTTAATACCAAATAGAAAACAATAAACTAGCGAAGAAGATGGTATACCGCAAACATGAGGTGCAAAAATTTGTACACCATATATGGAGTTCGACAATTAATGTCTCTTCAGTGATGTTAGGGATCGAAACGGTATTTGGAAGGCCATATAATTAACCTCAATTTAGGATAGACTCTTGAATTTTAAAGAGTCGAAATAGGATGAACGGATCATATAAACCCGAAGGATAATATAATACAAGCCCAAACGAAAAAATATAAACAAGCCTAAATTGAAAACAACGTTCAAACCTATTATTGCGTTGGATAAAACCGCAATTTTTATACGTGTGCATGTAAAACAAATTTCTTGGTAGAGGGGTCTAAATACACCACAAACAACATTTTCTAAAAGACAACAAAAAGTGTAATTTATATTTTAACAAATCGCTTTTGACTAACAGGTCGAACAACTGATGTTCTTTAACCCTGCTGACTGCCATTGACGATTGCCAAATAAATTGATCACGAGATGTAACATGGATCTTAATTATTAATTTAATACCAAATAGCAAACAATAAACTTGAGGAGAAGATGATATACCTCAAACATGAGTGCAAAAATTTGTACACCATATCCGGAGTTCGACAATTAATGTCTCTTCAGTGATGTTAGGGATCGAAACGGTATTTGGAAGGCCATATAATTTACCTCAATTTAGGATAGACTCTTGAATTTTAAAGAGTCGAAATAGGATGAACGGATCATATAAACCCGAAGGAAAATATAATACAAGCCCAAACGAAAATATATAAACAAGTCTAAATTGAAAACAACGTTCAAACATATGGTTGCGTTGGATAAAAACCGCAATTTTTATACATGTGCATGTAAAACAAATTTCTTGGTAGAGGGGTCTAAATACAGCACAAACAACATTTTCCAAAAGACCAAAAAACTGATAAGTATATTTTAACAAATCGCATTTGACTAACAGGTCCAACAACTGATGTTCTTAAACCCTGCTGACTGCCATTGACGATTGCTAAATAAATTGATCACGAGATGTAACATGGATCTTAATTATTAATTTAATACCAAATAGAAAACAATAAACTAGCGGAGAAGATGGTATACCGCAAACATGAGGTGCAAATATATATGTGTCATATCAACAGACCTCTACTGTAAACCTACAGATAAACATCAGTACCTTTCTCCCCAAAGCTGTCACCCCAATACTGTACAAAAAGTATCCCGTACAGTCAAGCTCTCGGAGTAAAGCGGATTTGCTCCTCTAGGGAAGCTGTCACTAAACGGTTACAAGAACTTTGCGGATTTTTGACCAAACGAGGTTATAAGAAATAGGACATAGATCAGGGGTTTTCACGTGCTAACAATAACAGCCGTAATGACCTACTACGGTACAAACAGAAAATGCAAAGCGAAATAGTTCCGTTTGTTTTAACATACAATCCCTCCTTTCCCATTTCATCCGTGCCAATTGGCAGATTATTACCAAACACCCAAAATTATCCTAGATCTTTTCCAAACCTCCTGTCTGAAAGACTTATTTGTGAGAGCTGATGTCTCCTCTAATAAAAGCTCTTCAACTGCAGGATGGTGCAAGTCGTGTGGTAACAGACGATCTCTGACTTGCCAACAAATACTGAATAGTCAAATATTCACTTGCCACTCCACTGCGTCCTAAACACTATATATTGCAATGTAACTTGCAAAACCCAGAATGTTGTTTACCTTCTTCAGTGTCGATGTGGCTTGTAGTATGTTGGCATGAATAGTCATCGAAGTGACTACACCTGCAAGCCCGACCTCCCCGTAAGTCGTCATTTGAGATCACCTGGACACGCCCAAGCTGACCTCAAAAACCTTACCATCACTATCATAGACCATAACGAGGGTTGGTCAAGGGCCGACGGACTTGCTCGGGAAAGTTTTGGATAAGAAAGTTAAGGACCGTTTCCTCAGAGGGCATTAATTAAAAAACATAAAATGAGTACTACCATCACTTGTTTCCTGTTACTCAGGCTTCAGTACAGGACTCTCACTGTTTTAAAGAATTTATTCCCCCTCCCAAATATCAATTTTGAAAACAAATTACCAGCGTATTGATGCGTGATTATTTGTATAACGTTCAAGATTATTATTTCAGTTCGACTACCACATTTCAAGATAAAAATCAGTAGACATCTTACTGATGAAGGATATTAGTTATCCGAAATATTTAATATTTGTTCTTGATTTTAGTATTTTTGGTGATGTTGTACCCTTTTAGACTTGCTTATATTTCCATAGTTGTTCATGAACTTGACAATGATATTGAGGAGTGATAATAAACACATATTTGTAAATAAGTTAGCAATCACAAATTTACATATTGCATAGCAAATATTAGACCGGTATATAACATGTATTGTTTTGTGTGTTGAAATGTTATTCATTACACAATCTAACCTTCTAGTATATACTTAACAGAAAGTAAAAATTTAAGTGCTTCTCATTTACCAAGCTGATATTCCCTCATTCTGTTGAAATATGAAATATGAATACATGATAAATAGATAGTTTTGCAACCACTTGATAGTTTGTTGTACATAAGATGACGACAAATTCTGTGAACAGATTGTAAACATGTATTCGAGATTCATTTAGCGATCTGAATTTCCAATATGAACTTTTCTTTTAAAATAAATAATCTTATTGCCTATATATGGATTGTAGTATATACCTTCACCTTGAATAGATAGAGGGTTGCTGCTTACGAGGAAGCTATTAAACCAAGAGATTCTATTGGTGAAGTTCAAAATCATCCATTCTAAAATTTTATGGACGCCATCCAATTTAGATGCTCATTTTAGCATATGTCTTTCACAGATGATGACAGAATAGAAAAAGAATAGTTTTGATACCGTTACAAAGTTGTGATGTGCAAAGCCCTGTCTCAGTAATTTCACTCAATAGATAGTAACAATGTTCTGCAACTCACTTACCAACTAGTTTCGTATTGCAATCGCTGGACAGGAATACAGAATTAACAACTTTGTTTGAAATTCTGAAATATTCAAGGAAAATGACATTACACACAATTATGTGCCCAGACAGGAAAATATAATTGCAACTCGAGTCTCTCTGATTGATTAATGGTACACATTTTAATCTCTTCAAACGTTAAGAGACAGGACAATAATGTTTTAACTTACTCTGTCAGACAAAATTTCATCTTTTATGTAATATAGAACCTGTTTGAAAAAGGAATAGTTTTAATATCCGTTAGTTTGATAAAAGACATTCCGTTTTTGAATTTTTCCTTGAGTTTGGCATTTTTACTTTTTAGTGGTTTTTCATATCTTAAAATTGTTGTGACTGTACAATTGTAAATACTTTATCCTATAACAGTTTGTTGTTTTGTCGCTTTCTCATTGATGTCGTCCCACATGTCCTTTTATTCGTGATATTAAAATGACTTTTTTTAATAACGGAACTATTTCAATTATCAGTATATTGCTATAATAACTACTGTTTATGACCATTTTGCCAGGTGCTGGTCGCTGTTTGGTCAACTTCTTCTACTACAGAGAACTGGACCTGTGTTATAAATTTGAACCGCCAATTCAAGGGTCTCTTGTTCATGAAGATTTCGTTTGTCCAGGAACTGAGCTCATGCGTATCGATTCCAATGAAATACAAGATTACATCAAGCTTGTTACAGGTAATAAACAAACTTAAAAAAAATTGAAAATAACACGTTATAAATTGTATAATGCGTCCTAACCGGTTTTCTGGATTTACCTTCATCAGGAACGCTCAGAGCCGAATATTTGAAAGCCAAGGATTTACAATACCGAAAAGTTACTTAATATGTGTGGGTAATAAATCATTATACTTTCTTTTTACTTTGCCAATATGAAATGTTATAATTATGAAAAGAATGCAATAAGATTACAGGAAAAGAAAGGAAAACATATTTCTTTATACAAAAAAAATTTAAGATTCCCAAAATAAATCGGTATGAATAATTTGCAATCAAACGTTAAAAAAATAATATTATTTCCTTCACTACCTTAAAGAAAGATAATATTTAAGAAGTTCAAAACCAACAATGTTTAAAACAAAGTCATCTCAGATACTCCTACAACAACTTTATCTGAGATATCTTTCAATCAGTGCCATATACTTGATTTAAGTTTTCCAGGATATTACTAGGTCTTTAGGAATATCCTTAGTACTTTCATACTATCACTTAGATATTAATACTTGAGAACATTTAAAAGAAGGAGAAATTACTGGACTATTAACCCAAATCCTTGGTTTTTGAGTCAGTGGTTCAAAGGTCACGGTGACAGCGGCCATAAAAGGACTCTCTGTTTTTGAAAAAAAAGAATATGTTATAGTTTTTTCAGAGATCTTTAGCAATATGTGTTGGATTAATAACCAATGAATAAAAAAAGCCTCCCCCCCCCCCAAAAAAAAAAAGACCCAATGGGTCAAAAGTCAAAGTTAAAGTTCCAGCAGTATCACATGTTTTTTGATAACATCTTTTGAACCATTCGTCTTAAACTTTGGTACAATTTATTGGGAAAACTCTATTGATTATTCATACTCTAGAGAACAAACTTCTTCGTTATTAAAATTGTATGTATCAGCCACGAAAGGGTAAAGAGCTTTGGTGTGAGATACTTAAATTAATTTTGAGGCAACTGTGTGAAAGGTCAAGTTCACAACAGCAATTATTAAACAGTAATTTTAACGAAAATCGGTTTCTTCTCCTTCAAATCCACAAAGATCAAAACTCGGCTTATGTAACATTGGTGCTCCTGTGGTTACTTAATTTTGGTTAATAAAATTTTCACTTTCTGAAAGTTTTTACCTATTCAGAGGAGAAAATGTTCATCAGCGCGGAAGCAAGGCCGATGGGTCGAACGGCCGTCCGCGGTGAGCAAGAGAGAAAAATTTATCGGCGGGGAAGCTAGGCAAGATCACTTGTTTTTGCATGCATTAACTAAATTAAGTTCTGCATGGATTATACAATAACTCATGAATTATTTCTTTACCTAAATTATAATTATTCCAGACATGCGTTTATTTCAGCTGACATCGGAGGAGTGTACCGTAATGCAATATGTATACAAGGTAAAATGACACAAGGACAATGGAAGTACAATGATGGATCTACGATAGAGTATTTCAGGTGGGGACCAAATCAACCAAGTGGATCAACTAACGTCATCAGCATGAGTCGATCACAGAACTACAATTTTAGGATTCTTAATGATGGAAAAAATTGTACCTATATGTGTGAATATCGATCACAGAATTCAATATGGTGACGCTATTCAATATAAAGAAAAAAATTACCTCTTTTTAAATGTTAACTTTTCTACTTTTCTTTTTCATACTAATTATAAGAATTAATTAAAAATATACTAATGTGTAAAATATATCTATTATACCCTTATTATATACTGAAATAAAGAATCTGGTCTCGTTGGGAAATCTTGTACTTTTACCCTAAACGAACGAAAATGCAACCACAAGTTTACAGAGGCGTTTTTATCTTAATACTACTGCTTCTATGGATTATTTCAGAAGTAATTCTTGCAAGCCATAGATTTGTTTGAGATTTTCGCACTGGTCCTGGCCATTTCTTATTTTACCCTCTGTAAGACAAATTTAAAGATAAAAAAGTCAAATTATTCTATGGTTTGCATGAAATATTGCTGAATTTACCTCTAGAAAATATGTATTTAATCCTAATAATTTTTAAAGCAAACATGGCAATTTTTAAATTACAATTTATTTTCGCTAGTTCCAATTAACCGTCAAATCAACATTTAACATAACGTTACTAAGGAGTTATCCACCACGTTGACTTGCCCATATCTAGCATTGTGCAAATAATGCAATATAACAAAAAAAACAAAACAAAAACAAAACAAAAAATACATCAAAATTCCATTTTGAAAAAAATATCTTTCTAATTTGCAGCATGCAAGTAACTGGAGAAACTTCAGCTTGAGAGATTTTATTCGTACGACATCGTTTTTTGAAATGATGTTAATCCATATCCATCTAAGTAAGACATCACTTGATTTTGATGACGTAGCAATCCTCCATCTTTAGTATATTTGTCTCATAAAAATTACATAGGACCTTCAATAAACTTTAATTTTTCCGTCAATCCGTTCCGTTCTCTAGATTTTGCTGCTCTTTCCTTTGTCTTCGAACATATACCTTTCTTAAAATATTGAACCTGATAGTTCAAATTCAGATGAAATTACGTCCCTAATCAATTGTCAATATTGCTCTTTTTCTCCTCCTCTGCCCATAGACTGTATTGTAAAAATTAACAAACCTTCAATTTCACAAATTCCTTAAACAAAAGTTGAACTTCAAATCTGAAACATACGGTTAGCACTGCGGGATTTTTCAAAATGGTAGCTTTGTCATTTATTGTGTTCTTACTTCAAATCAATTTGCCTTTCTCGTTATTTATTTACCAGCTTCTGAAAGTTGCATGTTTTGATCATGATATTTTTAATAGTAGCTTTTTTTCGATGCAAAAAATAATAAGGAACTTCTTAGGAAGAAAGATAAGAAGTTAACAATATCCTTTAACTCTACGTTTCGCTATATAGATGATGTTCTCTCACTAAATAATACAAAATTTGGTGACTATGTTGAACGAATTTATCCCATCGAACTAGAGATAAAGGATACTACAGATGCAGTTAAGTTTGCCTCATATCTTGACTTACATCTAGAAATTGACAATGAGGGTCGGTTGAAAACAAAACTTTACGACAAAAGAGATGATTTCAGCTTCCCAATTGTGAACTTTCCATTTCTATGTAGCACCTGCATAAGTAGTATATATCTCCCAATTGATACGATATTCCCGGGCTTGTGTTTCCTATCATGATTTCTTTGAAAGAGGATTGCTGCTCACAAGGAAGCTATTAAACCAAGAGTTCCAAATGGGGCAGTTGAAATCATCCCTTCGTATATTTTACGGACGCCATCACGAGTTGGTTGACCGTTATGGAATAACCGTTTCACAGATGATATCGAATATGTTCCTTATGTCGTAACTACAATACCCTCCCTTTTCACGAATATGACTTACCGAATTAGACTATTTACCAGATTTGTAATAACAGAAGCAACACGACGGATGCCACATGTGGAGCAGGATCTGCTTACCCTTCCGGAGCACCTGAGATCACCCCCAGTTGTTGGTGGGGTTCGTGTTGCTTAGTCTTTGGTTTTCTATGTTGTGTCATCTATACTATTACTTGTCTGTTTGTCTTTTTATTTTTGGCCATGGCGTTGTCAGTTTGTTTTCGATCTATGAGTTTGACTGTCCCTCTGGTATCTTTCGTCCCTCTTTTGTTATTATCCATGCATATTGCTTAAATAATCGTATTTCTAATATGATTTTTTTTTAATCATGTTAACTTTAAAACATTTTACAGCTGTTTAAGTGTTTGGTTTTGAATTTGGGTTTTCCTGCCATAGCTTCTGGTTTTGAAATTCGTTTTTGTTGTTTTTTTTAATTTCGAAATTTTTTAAAGCATTAGTTTGAAATTTGATTTGTTGTGGTAGAATTTATTCCAAACTTATAATACCAAATTTAATTTTGAAGTTTAAATATTTTTACGTTTTCTCTATTTGATTTAATGATATCAAATCTTCAAGGCTGTATTAGCTTTGAATCTAAACTGTTCGTGAATAAGATTAAACAAAATTCAATTTCAATATCTTAAAAGTACTTTTGTTTTAATTTAAAGTGTTGATTAGCGAATTAATTTTCAACGCAACATATTTCAAAATTATTATTGGATTTATTTTTAATATATATATATATATTAATTTTTATATTAAACGTTCGTTTTTATCTGTTGTACCAACGTTCGTGCAAAAATTACCATTTTATATATAAAATCATGATGTTCAGAAATCGTCAGTTACTCTCCATGCAAACCCTAGAAATTGAGATGAACTCAGAGGTTTATTATCGGATGCAGTTATATATAAAGGCAATGAGAGAAATGTATCACCTAATTCAGCGGCAGACGAGGAATGTGCAAAAACTGATACCTTGTTTCGAGGATAAATACAACAGATTCAAATATAAAAATCAAAGAAGTCATTGTACTGTTGGAAAAGACAGGTCTACAATAAGTAGACACTATGATCAATATGGAACTGAAACTAGTCTTATGGTACATACGCTGATCAGAGAAAAAGGTCTTATCTTTTTTTAAATAATACACTTGATGATCTCCTATCTATATTTAAAAACAATGGTAGGCATCAATGATTGTGTTACCTGGGTCAAATACCAATGGGTAAATTACAAGACATTTTCAAGGAGTAAACACAATCTCGTCCTTGATCTATCTCTATGAATGTACGCGTATAACTACATTTTTTGCCATCATAGGCTGTTCCCGTTTATCGATAAACCTAAAAACCATAAACGGCATTTTCTGAAAATTAAATATATTGACAGAGGTATTGATTCCATCAGCTTATCGAGTATAATTAACGACTCTACGAATCAAAACGTTAAACCTCCTTATTTTTATGTCACAGAACCACCTACTATTTTGTAAACATAAACAAAAATCCAGCAGAAGTTTACTTTTTAATTATACGTCAGTAACATCAGATGTCAGTGAATAAAATTTTAATCCTCTAACTTAAGACTATGAATGACCAAATTTTAGATATGATCCCCATGGCCATGTTATTACGGGCTATACAGAGAGTCATTAAGTAAACAATAATATCATAACCGGATCACTGCTAAAATCCTCTTCCGAACATTTGAAGGTCATTACCATGTATTGGTTACCTTAAATACACAAAAAAAACCAGTAAATTATCGTTTCAACTACTTTCAAAGAACATATCATTAACTTTTGTAATAAAACGTACATGTATAGTGGAATTAATTATTTTTGGACGGTATCTGTTTTAAGATGTTTTAGATTAATTAAGTGCTGTTGATAGTCATTTTGATTCTGTTGACAAATTTGACTTTCAACTCGTTACACTACACTTCCACACATTCGTATTAAACATAGGTTTTCTTATTTAATCAAAGAGTCGTTTGGTTAATCATATTGCAACAAATATATTTGCTGCAACTCATTTAAGCCTTCTTCTCTAGTGAAAAAAGTAAATAAGCTTGATATACTAACTGGAGGTGTGCTGAGATGATTGATGCTGTTAATGTTCTCTTTGATTATATCAATGTTTGTTTCGTCAATAAAGTGTTTCGACTGGTTGTATGTATTTCTATGGGTAACAGTTGCGCCATTTTATTAGCAGACTTGTTATTGTACTGTTTATGACCAAACTCAGTAAAGACCCGTCTTAGTTTCATAACATTGATACATTCAACAACACTTACCGTTATCTTGATTTTTATTTTTCGTTAAATAAACAAGAATTTTCTAAATATACTGCCAAAATATACCCAAAGGAACTTACTTTAAATACATCAAATATAAACGGGAATAACTTTCTTTCCTAGATTTAGATATTTAAGTTATACACTGGAAACTCTTCACAAACATTTACGACAAAAGGAATGACGTTTGTTCCCTTTTGTTAATTTTCCTTTTGTGGTCGGTGATGTTCCTTTGGCATCATCTTACGGTGTTTATATATCATAACTCTTTCGGTATGCCCGTGTCTGTTGTGACGTTTTGGATTTCAATGAACGTAATATATGTATTACTGCTAAGTTATTAAGTTTTTGGTTGTTTTTAACTTATAAACCTTTTTATTTTCAGATTTATGTCTAAATTTTGCATTTTCTAATTTCAGTTTAAGGCTAAAAATATTGGTTAAATCGATTTTTCGTAAAATTTACCCGGTAGACTTTTTTTTAAAAAACGGATGTGTCAAAGCTATGAACTTTTTAAACATTTTAAGGTAAAATAAAATGGGGGTCACTAGGCTTTTAAAAAAGTTATTGACTTTTGTTTTACCCGTCTACCCCATGAGGTCTGATTGCAATGCACCCCATTAATTACTTTGTTGTGAATTCTTTATTGATCATTTTAATAAAATAATGTTTGCAATTATATCAATGAACGATATCTAAATATAAATGTGTTTCACATATAATTGTTTGTAATGAAAAAGCTAAATTTTGATTATTTTAGTGGAATACGGTAATTTTGTCAGGCGCGAGTTGTTTCCCTCTAATTTGGCGCCATAATCGGACAACAGAAATTTCAGGGTCACCATTGTTGAGCAGCATACAGTTCTGATGAATACGACCATGTACATGAATAACAG